AATTTTTCTTAAGCAAGTCCAGTTAAGTATGTCTTCAGACCCTCTTGTTCATGATATCAAGAATAATTCTTCTAAATCTCATGATTCTTCTAAATTTGAATTCAAGAACAACCTACTCTATTTCGAAGGATGCCTATATGTTCCAGAAAGAGAAGCGCGTTTACGTGTTCTTCAAGCTCATCACGACTTCCCAGCAGTAGAATATTTTGGATATAATAAGACTTTGGAGCTGATATGTAGGGATTTTTGGTGGCCTCAAATGTGGAAGGCAGTCAAAGATTTTGTACAATCATGTGATGTTTGCTCAAGATCAAAAACTCCTCGTCATCGACCTTTTGGACTTCTTCAACCATTATCCATTCCAGAACAACCATGGTCTTCTATTTCTATGGACTTCATCACGGATCTTCTAATCTCAGGTTCTTATGATTCTATATTCGTGATAGTAGATCATTTTACCAAGATGGTACATTTTGTACCATGTACAAAATCTATCACAGGTGAAGAAATAGCTAAGCTCTTTCTTGACAATATCTATCGCTATCATGGATTACCGAAGGATATTATATCAGATAAAGGAACTCAATTTGTATCAAGATTTTAGCGGACTCTTTTCAAGATTCTAAAAGTGGATATAAAACTATCTTTGGCATTCCATCCTCAAACTAATGGACAAACGGAGCGTGTTAATCAAGTTTTGGAGCAATATTTAAGATGTACCATTAACTACCAACAAGATGATTGGACAACTCTTTTGCCATTGGCAAAGTTCGCTTACAATAATACGATACATTTTTCTACAAAATAAACACCTTTCTTTGCTAATTATGGTTATCATCCACGACTTGATACTTTTGACTTTTCAAAAGTTGATAATCCTGCTGCGAAAGATTTGGCGATTCATTTATCAGAGCTACATGCAACGATGAAAGCGTAGTTAAAAGAGGCTCAAGAACAGCAAAAGGTCAATGCAGATGTCTATCAAAAAGAACAACCACCATTCCTCTTGGATGATAAGGTATGGCTACTTCGTCGCAATATCAAGGCCACACGTCTTTGTAACAAGTTGGACTATCAAAGGTTGGAACCATTTTCTATTTTTGCACAAATCAATCTAGTTGCATATCGTTTACATCTACCAGAGTCAATGAAAATCCATCCAGAATTCCACGTGTCTCTTCTTGAACCATACAAGACAGTGGACATACCAGGAAGACGACAAGCTCCACCTCCTCCTATAGAAGTGGAAAATAATGAAGAGTTTGAAGTAGAAGAAATCTTAGATTCAAGGCGGCGCTAAAATAAATTGGAATATCTTGTCCATTGCCGCAGATATGGTGTTAGTGAACGCACATGGGAGCCAATAAAAAATCTTGCAAATGCAACAAAGGCGGTGGAGACTTTTCATTGACGACATCCATCAAAATCAAGATGAAAACCTTCTTTATAAAAGAAACAACATCTAGGCAAGATAACATTCTACTTTCAATCCTTGTTCGTAGCTTCTTTGTAGTTGTGACGTTCAGGAGATGGAGAACCAACAACCAGTGGATTCGACTCAAGAGCCTTCATTTGCCGACCTACCAAACGAGACATTACGATTGTTACAACCTTCAAGATGACGCAATCGAGATGAAGATGTTCAAGAATGACATGTTCTTCCTCGAATACATGGCGAGATACAACGCGTTTGGTATCACGATTTGGGAAGGGACTCTCGATGTTTGGTGATTTTGCTAGAGGTAGGAACAACTCCTGATGGTGTTCCAAATGTTCTATTCGAAGGAAGTTATGAAGGCCTCAACAATGATCAAATAACTGGTGGTCTTCCCGCCCTGGTATGAGACACTACCGATGATTGAGAGGCCCTAGCAATCATCTTCGAAGAGAACAAAGATCAGAGTATGTGGCGAATATAATTTGTCACATCATAGATTTCTTCAACATATGATGACCACTCCTTGTGGAACTCGTCCCTAAAAGGGGGGGTAATGTCACACATACTCATGTAAGCTAGTAATTATATATACAAATAGGTAGAAGTAAGTAAAAGTAAGTAAAAATAAGTTAATTCTATAGTATTTAATATGAAAGCTTCCTAGAAGCTTCATAGACACTGCTTTGACTTCATAGATGTCTTTAATTGACTTTTTGGATTAGAAATGTGGTCAACAAGTTGGCCATGTGCCACACATGTTGTTAGCTTGAAGATCAAGCTAACTATGTGGCCCACACATAGAAAAACTTGCCTTGTAAGTCAAGGCATGTGTCCTACAAAGTCAACACATATTGGAGGTCCTATAGAACGTCGCCACATAGCCCCTAGTTAGATAGTATGTATAGAGACAAGAGTGAAGCCTTTTTCAATCTTGTCAACTCCTTTCTTGCTTCTAGTCTAGTTTCAAGGGTCTTTAGTTTTCTTGTCTTTTGGCAATAGCCATTCTAGTTTCTCTTTCAATATACATACTTATTTATTTATATTTTGTTACCTTTCATTGAGTAAAGGCTCACTTGTCTGGATTGTTTTTTCATTGAGTTCTTGTTCTTGACAATGTCTAATAAAGGTGGCTCTATATATATATATATATATATTATCAACATAAAATCAACCTCAAGAATAGCCCTTATCAACTAACTACTTTAAAGTAGCAATCTAACCATATTTTATAACCAACTAAAATCTAATAATATAGCTTTCACTACATTTTATAATAAATTATATATTTAATATATTTGTGCATTATTTTTACATGGTAACCAAATCACAACATGACAATATTTAAATACAAAATATTATATATGATAGATGAATTGAATGCAATCAAAAAACCACAAATATTATGAAGAATCTCAACAATGAGTTGAAAATTAGTGAAAGATGCAATACAATTATAATTTGCAGCAATTAATTTTTTGCGTAATTTGTATTGCTTAAAATCACTTTCATTGCAAGTCAACTAAACTAGTTGAGATGCCATACAAAGTATTGTTTTCAAAGCAACACAACCAATAACAAGATAGGACCTTTTTGAAATGTTGATTTTAGTAACATATTTGTTAAAAGTTGTGAGATCAAATTCATTAGCAAAAGCTTTAAGCAAAGGTTCATTTTTCTTAAACAAACTCAATACCCAAGATATTATAACACCTTTAAATTTATCAAGGTGAAACAATAATCTACCAATAATGTCATTAATAATTAATTTGTTGAGACTAAATCTCAAAGCTCTACCATTGCTTTCAAAATAACTCCAAATATAATTGACAAACAATATATTAATTTCTTTAAAAGATAATTCTTTTTCTTTAGTTGTCTTTAATTTTTCATATTTTTTCCATGTGAAAAAATATTTTTACATAAGGTATTATAGGTAATAATCTTTTACAAACCAATTTTACTTGCAATACTTAGTTATTTTTTTGCTTTGCACCAACTCTCTCATTCTAATAAAAAATAATGCAAATTCAACAAGCAAATAATACCACTTTACACTTAATTAAATTGTCATGCCAAACTTGACTTCATATTGTTTCTTGAACTTCAACATTGTTTTTAGAATTTGCACATTACTAAACTAATGTATCAATGATGATAATACAACACTAAGATAAGTAGACATTTAAAATTACTTTAGTATCTTTTATAAAGCAAACAACGAAATATTCAAATGATATATATTATTTTTTCTCTCATAATTTTTACTTGAATATATTAATTAAAAATTATATAATAATTATTTAAATATTAATTAATAAATATATATTATGATTGATTATGAAGAGTTGCATGATAATTATTATTGAATGTTTTTGTATTTAAATTTAAACTTTTACATAAAAGCAAAATCATTTGAAACATTTGACCATTACTAAATAATATTTAATAAGAAACAATATAGAGTTAATAATATTATAGATGTGTATATTAATTTATAAAATCATGGTCATAAATAAAAACATCTTCAATCATCAATTTATTTTTCATTTCAATATTTTACAACAATTTATAAATAATTTTGGTGCTGACTTAGTAGAGAATGTAAATAATAAAATATACAAGAAAAATAAGTCTTTCATCTTGCTTATAAATCAATCATATCATATAAACTATAAATTAGAAAAAAAAAAAAAAAAAAAAAAAAAAACCACCATTTCTTTTTTTTTTTATGTAGAAAATCTAAATGACAAAAGAAATTCTTTTTATTAGCAACTTATTTAAATTAATAAATATTAAAAATCACAATAAATCACTTACAAGAATTATGTTGGCATAGTTTTTCCAATCCCATAGACCAATATTGGCACTTATACAAATAAATTACATTGAGCAAATTTTAATATTATAGAATATTATGGTAAAAGATTGATATTTTTATATACTTTGTTAAACAAATATATTTTAATATATTTAGATATTTTACAAATACTCTACATACAACCATATAAAATACAAGAGCATCGCCATTTGTTGGTACCAACACAAATGGCCGCCTCAGCCCCAGTGTGGTTCCTAGTGTGGTTCCTACTCGTTTGGTGGGTTGTTGGCAATAACTAAGCTCAACATCTACTTAGTTTCCAAAGGCAACCATTAAATCTAATATCTTTGAGAATTATATGGAACAAATTCTCATGCTTTAAACAATGTTAGGATCTTATGTTGTTAATTTGAGCGTAAAGGATTCTATGCAAAGATTTACAAAAGTCTAACATGTACATATGTACACAAAAATAATAAGTAATCAATCCAATAATTTTTATTAACTAGTTTGAATTAACTTCAACATACAGTAAGTTTAATATGATTTATTTATCACCATATGTTAGAAACTTTTCAGATGTACAAATTGTGAAATGTTAATTTTCACTTAAACTAGAAGTTTCTAATTCTAAAATAACGGAAAATAATATAATCTCAACACAGTATACACATACATGAAAGAAGAGTAAGCTAAATAAAATTTACTCAAAATTGATCACTTCAAGGATGAGTGTATGCTACCTTCAGTTTTAAGTGTCCAATTGCATTAAACATATCATAACAAGTGAGTTTGGGCTCTATGCTACTGCTGTTGCTAGGATTTCCCTGAAGAGGAGGAAGTTATGATTGCCATAAAAGCCATTAATCTACAGAGGACTACTTTAGACTAAAATATGACAACGAGCCCACCTGCATTCTTCACCTTGACATGAGGGAGGGTGGTCTTTCTCCTCAGCTGGAAAGTCACCAGGTTTTGTTCAGAAACGTCATAAAAAGTCGCAGCTGTTTATTGCGAATAGAGCAATGGCATGGCTGGAGGCACTAAAGATGATCCAGGTGTCCGCATGCACACGTTGTACCCTGGTTGTGTGCAAAAACACTCACCTAACAACAGGACGATATTGTAATGAACCCAGCAGTTATGTCATAACACAACATCTTGTGGAGAACACGAACATTATTTTGTATCATTGTTTACAGCATCCGTGCTTTAAAACATGAAATGCTAAACATGAAGTCATCTCTTCGACTTTTGGACTTCAGGACAGTATTCTAAACTTGAAATCAATCCTGAAGTGGGGAGTAAATAAGTGCCGTCAAATCACTGCATATTTGAGACATGGATATGCTAATGAAGACACAAACATTGCCAGTGATGAATTTGACAACTGATGCTATGTCAGCATCATGTTAAATCCTGGCCTCACTGATTGGTTGTAACAAGCACCACCCTGCTAGCCACACATTCTCTACAATATTCTGCAAATCCCAGTGCATACCTCCAGCGACCGTCAGCTGCGATCATGCACAGTTGCGAAGGCTAAACCAGTCCGCTTCAAAGACAAACTGTTTCTGGTTTACTAAATTAAGTGTGGGATTCTAATCTCCCACTGATACCGATATTGTATCTAATGATACGCTTTCAAGGTCTTTCAGAAAGGGGAAGTTCTGCAAAACACGAGAATAAAAGTTCAAAATCGTCAAACCAGGTATCAGTAGGAAAAAGAACATATTGAACAAATTTATTATATGATATTCAATATCTGGTCAGGAAGAACGCATATTTCAGAGCTGCGAACACTTACCTTGAGGCAATCCACGCGTACGTTCTATGTAATGTATACATCCTGCTCCTGATAGTAGCCCAGCAATAGCAGTACCGAAGATAGTGCTATTGTCCAGTTTCTCATGCAAACCTCCCTGTATAACCGATAAAATGAATTTTAAAAGCACATCAGCTGCCTGACTCCAAAACCTAACACATGTTATTTTGAAAACCATACAAAAATACAAAAAAAGGTTACAGAATTGAACATTATAAATTACATTTCTGCAAGCATTTAAATCGCAGTAATTTAAAAACAGGTACCTGTATTAAAACAACGAGAACCGCAAAATAAACAGGAATACGAAATATGCTCATGACTGCAGCTCGCCGGTCGTTTGGGATGTACCTGCAAGATTGAAGGGAAGCGAGAACCCAGTTGAACAAAGTGAGGTTGCAATGTGATCAAAACTAAAATACACATTCAAAATCACAAAAACAGAAAATAACAGGTGGGTAGTATTGCTATATTATCATCACATTCTGTACATAAAAAGTGCACAGGTTAAGCATTCCGTGTACTGATAAAAAGTACACTAAATGCAAGGAGAGCACCTACAAGCTTCGAAGGCGAGCTAGAGAGGGCAATGCAATCCCAACACATGTATGAAATACACAAAAGCACCACAAGAGCACCTTCACCTCCTGCGCATGATTATAATTCCACAATGACTCCAAAGATTATAAAAGCTTCACTTGTTTATACCATTAACCCGTACATTCTTCTAAGCAAGGGAAAAAAATTACCAATTAGCATTTAAAAAACGTAAAAGAAAACTAAAAAAGAAGAAAAAAGAGACGAAAAAGCTTCAAGCAGATGAAATGGTTCTTTACCTGATGGTTATAAGCTGGAAAGAACAAAGAGATACCTCCCACAAAGAGAACTATCGGAAGAAAGCTTTCGGGGCGGAAGAAGTAAGGGCCCTGAAGCAAACATGCAGTAATTATACTGCCAAGCACCATGGATGCTATTAATCTTGTAAAGATCACAGCACTGTGGACTTCTCGACCATCTGCCTGTGAAATACCAATGCCACCAGATTTAATTCAAGACTGCAATGAAAACCCAGGACAGGAAACAGAACATGTCGAAAAGAAATGAACTAAAACATTAATAAATACTGAACAAACTAAGCTTTAATTAAATACTACAGAGTTCATGAAAGTCCTGAAGTTCAAGCCTCTGGCAGTAAAGATTCAATAAAGAACAAACCTCCAGGAATCCACAGAGATCAAATTCCAATAACAGTGCATGTCCAACCAACTCGGGAGCTACTAACAAAGTCCATTCTCACTACCCAAACAAATGGCTGTGAAGAATTAACTTACCACCAAAGTAGGCGTCCACAGGTACCAAAAAACAACGACTGAGAAGTCAAAGCACGCTTGAGTCCATCCTAAAAGAAGCACCTTCCTATCTGCACTGGACCATATCCACGCCGCAGCTGATGAACAAAATATCTGCATTTACTGGAATTACTGAACAAGACATCCTTCGAGAGCGAATCTGTTGGAAATTCACAGGACATTCTGAAAGTGGAAAATGGGAAAATCAACATACCGCTAAGACACTGCACTGCATGGCCGATAGAACGCCATAAGCTGGGAGACGTTCCCACATTTTCAGTAAATGTTCTTTTGACAGCTAGAATACTGAGAAGAGCGGTCACTATTGCTGAAATTAATGGAGCAGACCCGATGAAGCCCCGCCAGTTTGCAACCACGTTAGCTAGAGCTCCACAACCTGTTAAGTTGAAAATAACTTCAGAGTTCAAAATCACAGGAGGTGGATTTGAATGCGGGACAACCATAAACCAATCGAAGGACTGTGTGTCGTAATATTGAGCTTAGACATGGATCGACCATGCTGTACAGTTGCGCTTAGAGGGTGCAGAAATATAAAATAGTCATATAATATGCAAGGGTGATCTAAATGAGATACTCGTATCAAATACCTGTTGCAACAACCCCATTACTAAATACCATTAACCAAAAAGTTTCATTCAGCCATTCTTGTCTGAAGCCCATCTGCACAGGCGCGAAAATCTACTGAATTACGTCATCGTCTGTGAGCATCGTACAGCCCGTAAATATTGGTTGTCATGAAACCTAGGTTGCGCAACTCTAGGTCAGATCCATGAATAAGATTCATGAATAAGATATGTCAGGCTCAACAGACAGAGAGCCACTTCCTCAAACATATGCAGAAGATAAGAGAATGCCCAGGGACCAACGTGCTAGAGGAAAGACGTACCTTTTCGTGCTCCACGACCATCCAAGACTCAAAAGAAGAATATAGAAGAGACGTTGCGATGCCCAGAGAGACATGAGCAAAGCACAGTATGCGGAATTCAGGGTACTGTTTGGCAAAACATCCTAGAGCTTGGAAGAATCCGAATAACATGCAAGCTCGTTTGCGACCTCTGAACGTCAAGGAAAAACAGGAGTAATTTAAAATTCAAGCATCACGTCAGTCCTCTGGTCCAGGTAACCTTCAATCGAAACTGTAAAAGCAAATATCGAACACGTGTTTTGTATCCATGTACTGCAGGATCCTCATGGAGTCTGAATTCTTGAGAGAAAGACAGCAGCTAGGGACTGTCCTAGCTAAACAATTCTAAACAATGCTAAACAATACAACACGAATAAATTCTTTAAATCGAATACACTGACAATGTAGAGTATGGCGCGCACGATAAACTCACATGTAGTCAGCAGAAGCTGCAATAATCGTGCCAAGGGAAAGCGAGCTTCCGTATCCAACAGCGAGCAATATAGCTATCTCTTTTCTTTTAAAACCATAGCTCTCGTATAAGGCTTCGGTGTAAACAACCTGCAATGCATCAGCCACTGCATTCCCCACAGGTGCCTCCTACCCAATCAAAATACTTCACAATTCTCCTCAAGAAACACTTCATAAAAGTTGGAAAGCAGCTGCAAAACCGAAACAGAACCAAACACATCCTCGAGAGTGCATTGGTAGAAACAACTTGTATTGAGCTAAGTATCACAAGACATAAAACTACAAAAATCCTCTTTTGCATAGTAAAGATGCAACAAGAGCAAGAACAAACAAGCCCAAGTTCTGAATTGCACTTCATTACAGCATTGAACAGCCATGGTGTCAGGCAGAGTGTAAAGAGCCCAAACCTGACGCAAGAATGAACACTGCAAGGAAAGTGCGCTGGAAGGTAACGAAGGAACCCGAGAATCGAACAATAACAGCCTTATCAATCGCTAGCGATTTGGGGACCACCAGGCTTCTGTAACCCAACATGCCAGCACAAGCGAGCATTTGGACGCCAAACACCCATGGCCCACTTTCCCAGCCCAACTCCTCCGACTCCATCCTCACTTGAACCCTAAACCCTAATCCGCTATTCCTCACCACACCCACAGAAATTGTTCACCATTGTCGAGATACTGAAGCTACTCCATCATTCCTGTCCACACTATCCACGATTGTTTCGGACGCTTCATCTTAGATCGTCGCCATCGCCACCGACACTTGAGCTTCGAAGCAGGAAAAACGAGGAGGAGTCGAGGTTCTGGTGGACTGGTCTCGAAAGGAGGTGATTTGATTAGTGAGAAGTTAAGAATCGATTTCTCACTTTTGAGAATTAATGTCCGTTTTGTTTTTAGTTTATTTTATCTCTTTGTGTGACGTGATGAGACATATGTAATGCATGGGGAGACAAAGGAGATTCAAGGTGTTCTTAGTCTTAAACCTCAACGATAGGACATACTTGGGAGTTTTATGACATATACACACACAATTTTTTAAATTCTAGAATGGAAAGTTAAGTTTTATTTATTTGTTATGAGATATCAAGTAATTATTTGCAATTACTGAATTGTATCCGATTTTTATATCTCCGTGAATTCATGTCATAGTTATCAGCATGTACATTCTATTTCATCAATATATATATATTATTTTTTGTTTTTGTTTTGTTTTGTTTTGTTTTTTTTTTTTTTTTCATTTTTGCCATGTGTGATTTTTGACAGCATACAACTATACTTAAGGAAATCAAAATAGATCATTTGCTTAGTTTGTACATTGTTCCATTTTTCTTCATTAAATAAAAATATATTTCTTTAAATCTAAATAATTCATCATAATGAATGTTTATTCACATGAGCAGATAGAAGTAAATGAATGTAGGTAGAAATATGTTAGGTAGATAACATCTTCTTTAGGAAACTTCAAAGAATCTTTTTATATATGGATCATATCTTAAGATTCTTCTTGATATATTATATGGTTGTTAAAATTTGTGATATAAGTTCTGTACTTTTAGGAAGCTACTATGAAAGCAATCTACAATTTGGATGTTTTGGCCACAAGCCTTGTGGATTGTAGAAAGCTTCCACAAAGCCTTCTTGACAACTATTATATATAGAGGCAAGATTGTAGACATATTTAATCTTGTCAATGCTTTTCTTATGTTCTAATTTTAATTCAAGATTATTTAATTTCTTTGTATTAGGCAAAATTTATTGTAGTTATTTTTATTTATTTTTATTTATTTATTTATTTATTTTTGTCTCTATGTAGCAATATACAAATATATTATCTTTTCAAAGTTATATTTAATTTCATGTTCTTGATAATTCAATAAGATTAATATATAAAACATCAAAATTTAATGTTTTTTTTTTTTTTTTTTTTTTTTTTTGTGAAGAATAAGTTATATATACGTATATATAAATAAAGAGACAAAAAGATAGAGAAAAAAAAAATTGGAGCTTATAAATAACTATCTTCCAAATTAATATTATTTTTGTAACACTACTTTCTTTGTGTTTTTTTTTACATAGCAATTATGATTTTATTATAATTATAAAAAAATTTAATACAAATAAAGAATTTTATAGCATAAATGTAAGTAAAATTTAGAAATTTTATCATTTTTATGCATCAATTTTATTTACCACCTTAACCAATATTAGAATTGACAAATCAATAAGACACATAGATAACAAGAGTTTCTTTAACATTTTTATAAATTTAAGAGATTCAAATAAAAAAAATTACACTATATAGGCAACCAACAATTGTTCTTTAGGAAAAAGTTGATAGTACCATATCCAAATTTTGAGGATTTATCAACCAAGAAAATTTTAATATTGAGCTAATACTTCTTAATTATCATTGTTTACATTGTCTTATAACCTTTTCAAGAGTTCTATTCTTATGCTATCTAATTATAAGGTCTTATAACTTTCCATGTCTTTTTCAAAGATATTTAATATTATTATTGATAAAGGTTTAATCTAATATGAATTCATATATTACTATTCTAATAATAACTATTAAAAAAAGAACTTATCCATCAAAGATTCTAAAGTAGTAATCATATGTAGGAAGTTTGGAAGATATTTTTATTAATCAGCAAAGAAGATTAAGCATATGTCATCTGTATATTGTTTGCCATTGATCTTATTTCTTTGATTATTACAAAGCTTTGAAATAAATAATGCTTAATGTTATTTTTTTGATAAATTTTAAAAATGCAATAGAACTTTCTTTTTTTTCTTTTTAATTAATATCTTCTTACTTCTATTCTTTAAATTAAATTAACATTTTTTTTCTATTTATTAAAGACTTTGTAGAAAAATTGAATTTATAGAGTGTTTTAAAGAATGAATTGAGCTTGAATTAACCTTGTAAAAGTTGATAAATTTCTAAGTCTATTGTAAAAATAATTCTTGCATTTTTTTATAGTTCAAATTTTATTAACTTAAGTTAGAGTCTTTAGATCATAAAATAATAAAAAAAAAATCATTTTACATGAAAAATGTCTTTAAATTACATAGAGAATCCTCTAAATTTAAATTTGATTTAGATAGATGCTAAGTATTAGTCTCATCAAGTAATAATATTCTTCTATAAGTAGAATATTTATTTATTAGATTCTTCTTTGTATTATAATTTATTTTGGATTTTCCTCAGATAATATTTTTGTCAAATTAATGCATAATTTAATTATTTTATGGTATTTATTAGATGCATATATATTCACAATATTTAATTATTATTTTAGATTAACTTTGAATGTAGAAGTTTTAAAATAAAAACCTTAAATTTTGTATATGTGTGTTTTTTTAGGTTTCTTTTTATATTCCAGAAATTAATTATTTCGTATGATTTACTAAATCTATTGGAAGTAATTTTTTGATTATAAAAAACAATTAATTTTTAGAATAAAGAAAGTGACAAGATTGAAGAATAATATTTCTTATGCTTATTTCACTAATATAATTTTTTTCCAAAGATTCAAATAATATGAAAGACATAGTTAAAAATATAGAATATAAGTTTTTCTTTTAGTGTGCAAAAACAAATATGCTTTTAAATAATACTTATATTATATTTAATTGGTTATCTTTAAATTATAGCCAAAGCATTATGTTTTTTCTTATTTAAATGTATTGCATATTTACTCCAAACTTTTGATATTTCTAAAAGTAGTTGGTTGTAGTATAACAACTATATTATTAAATGTTTTAGCTGAATTCGTGTATTACTTAACTTTATGTTCAAATGTATATCCAATTCTAATGATTTGTCTATTAGATGCATCTATTTCAATAACTAAAAATAGATCTCTTTATCTTTATCAAAGTTTTTTTTTTTTTTTTTTTTTTTTTTTTTTTAAAAAATATCTTTTCTCCAATCTCTTTTTATATCTCTTTTACTTATGTAAACAACATATTATTATTTTTTGAAATTGTCAAATTCACTTTTTGAATGTTCTTTATAACTTCAATGACCTGCAAGAGATTACTTTAAGGTTAATTATTTAGATATTTAAAAGATTTTCTAGTATTCTTTGAGGCCTTGTCTATGGTGAGTGTAACTTACAAACATGCTAATTCTCTTGTCAAAAATCTCTTTTAGATTTAAAATAAGGTACTTCGAGTTAAGTTTGATAGACATTGGAATGTCTTCATTTATATATTTAAGACACCATGATTTCCTTAAAGAGTTTTTTTAAAGATTTACTCTTATAAATATGAAATACAATTATCAATTCAGATCTTAATATTATTTTCTTGGTGCTTGGTTTTGGGTCTTCTTTAATTTTGAACTTGCATAAAGCCTTCTATATTAATTTTTTAAATCTTTACATTGTATGTCTTCTACTAGATCCTCTAAAATTCCTCCATAATAATCTTACTTAAATGTCTTCAAGTTTTAATGTAATATTATATAAATTTATTTTCATGCTTAAAGTTGAAATTGATTTTGATTTTGCTAATACAAGGGCCTTACATTCTTTGTTACTATAAGATGTTACTAAATAAAAGAAAGAGTTTATAGGTTATTATTTCACTCTTAAATATTATAGAATTAAAAAATTGAAACTTTTATACTTCAATTTACACCTCAATTTAAGCTTTTTCAAAAATAAAGCTCATCTAAAATATGATAGTTTGAGCTTATTTTAAAAACAAGTCCTATGATGCCAACCACATATTGTGCAATTTTTAAAAATCTGTTTGGTAGTTCCTTCATGTTACCAAAGTTGAGACTTTTATAATATTTAAGTAATTAAGATTGTTAAGTTCTTATATAGTTATAAAATCCCTTTTTAGATCATAGTCTAAAACATGCACAAACATGCCAAATATAAATAAAAGTACTACAATTTTTTATTTTCTTGTGAAGGTTATTTCATACATTTATTTATTTATATTTATCTTCATTTGAACTTTTTAGAATTTTTTTGCATTAAGAAATCAAAGTAATACTTTAAAAAAATTAGAAATAAGAATCTTAGTAGGTATACTTCATTCTGGACATAGGCAACTTAATTATTTATAGATTCTAATTGCTAGTAAAAATCATGTTCTTCATGTATGTTCAATTAGGTGTATATGCCTCCAAATGGGAGATTACTCTTGTCTCTTCTAGATTTATCACTTCATATACTTCCTAAGTACAATGACATTCTTATCCTAATCTAAGTATAATATCTTCTATTTTGTTTGTGACTATTTAATTTAAATAAAAAATAAAAAAATAAAACATAACAAAATACTAGTCAAAATATTTTTCAATCTCTTACACTTAGTGTATTTTTTTAATATCACTAACACAACAACCAATAGTCTAAACTTCTCTATTTTATGGCTCAACATCAATTACACTACCAACACTAAGAGGGTTATCTATTATTGCAAAGTCACAAAATATCATTACTTTTGTCCAATTAATTCTCCCTTCAAAACTTGGAATTTAAAAATGATGTAATCTATACTTCCTTTTTAGATGAATACTAATATGATACAATCATTTTATGTTATTGCTTGTATAGAAATATCATGTTTTTCTTTTGCAGTGTGTTCTTTGTGGAAAAATTGAGGATTCAATTAAAATCTGAATTTTTAAAACACAAATAACTAAGTATGTCTTAGATTATTATTGTATTAAATTAAGAAAATATTAATAATTGACAATGAACACAATTATAAATTCTGTGGGCAACTGAGGCGAAAATGCTAACACATGATGCCAGTAAGTTCAATTTCAGACATCAAAATGATGCCACAAAACAAAAATAAGTAAGTGCTTGATTCATATTATGAGCTTAGTTACAAATAGTACTGCTACTTGGATTTCACGGTAATTAATGCACTAGCCAAAATCTTTTTGAAATGGGCATTGTGGTACAACCAGCGCACACTTGGTGACATTTTTTTAGTCTCTCCATACGATTCAAATTGGTATTCCACCTTTACATAGCTCCCAAAACAATTCGCGATTGCAAATGCGGTGATTACGAATGCGCAGATTTACATGACTCAAGAAAGAATTAGCCGCCGAAATAAGAAGTGTCATCCAGTTGAGGCATCGTCAGAACGTTAGCTTGACTTCAGGCGCTTTACATGCTCCCCTTGAAACCATTCTAAGCACTGCTCCTCAGTACCTTCTGGATGAGCAAGCTCCCACTTGTGAAACCTGGTCATCTGCGAATCCAGGATCTTAAATGAAACAGGTTAAGCCCACCTACAATGTTATATAATTACGACAAACGTTACAAAGATGAAGAGAAATAAACATACACCATACTGATTAATGTATGCGAGAGAATACTAAAAGAGAAACAAAGAAATAAATGAATATAAAAATGGCTGAGGAAGGGTACCCATTCTTTCACTTGAGGGCCACCTTTAGTTAGTCCCAGAAGGCTCATTACTTTCTTCCCATCAAATAATGGTTTTTTGTCCCACACTTTTTCAAGTCCTGCAGGATAATTCTCATAATTACAAGTTAGATCGCGGACTCGGTGATTCAAACCCACAACGAACACTGCAGCACCAATTCCACACGATTTCTTAATTTATTAATTCCCGTCTTAGAGCTTCTCACCTAATCTCAGTAGAGTAGCTTCAACGATTAGGCAGCTATTTGTCCTCTCCGTCAAGTGGCTTGAACTGGTTTCATCAAGTGGAATAGAAAGAACTGACGAAAGAACCAAAGCCAGGCGCCACATGCCCTTGATTTCTCCCAGCAGCAAACCTATACATGAATCGAATCATAATATGATTTAGCAGCTAAATGTTCATCAAAACCAGGAGGCTGGACGACCCAAAGATTGGTTACGTTATCAAACCAGCGAGTGCATAATTAAGAGTGAAACGCAAACCTGCTCGTACTCTCTTCTCTGATTGAAAACCTTCGTCAGTCCTTTCAGGTGCATCAACGAGTAACATTTCCGTAAGTTCCACAAATTGCTCAGCAGCACTATGAAGCTGTAATACCTGCCAAGAAACATTCTTGTCTAACATAAATATCTGAAGAATCACATGAAAGCAAATCAATGATCGCTTTCACGAAGCTAAAACAATAAAAGTCTCCAGCATGAGAAAATAATTCTATGTTGTTCATCTACAAAAGCAGCTTCAAAAGGTGCACTATACATACACCAGCAGTGAGCACCCTATACAAACCTTTTTGGCGTCGTCCGATTTCAGCTTCAAGGATTCCTTGATAATGAGCTCCGATATAGACACTTCCTGGTAGCTCACAATGTACGTAAACAAGCCATCAAAACTCAGGTAAGAGTGAGTAAGGATATCCATGGTATGGGTAAAAGTCTTAAAGGACGAGCAAAGTCAAAAGACAGTTGCCTACTTGAAGATATTACAATATTTGAAACTCACGGGACTTGAGCTGCAGAGAATGACACCAATGGCAAGAAAACAAAGCATTAGAGTGGAACTCACCACGCCTTTCTTCCCTAAATTTGAAGCTGTAACATTTCGTAGTGGAAGAAGTAAGCTAGATAGATAAAACAATCTCCTTTCCTCACCCTATACATTGCGAGAAATTGTTTGACATGTAATCAATATATACAACTTCCAATGTCAGCAATTCAGGACGACTTGAAATCGTTTACAAATATTTTTGAAGAGATATCCAACATGCGCCCATACCGTAAATTTTCTTGGTGCCCCTACTGTACTTGGAACAACCTCGAGTTCAGCCTCGAAGGCCTCAAAGACATCTCCAGCTGCTTCCATATAATCAACACACAACCTACACATCCAGAAATTGCTCAGGCAAACCACAATGTACAGCTGAAGTTGACTCCGTTCTATGTTAATTCAGAGCAACAGCAAAAACACAATGGTTACCTCCCAGTATTTTCCTCAAGTGGCGGCTTAATGTTGCAAAGTATACTCGTGAAAATAACTGGAAAAAGTTGTAGCTGTTCCAGACACCGCATAGCTGTATTTGGCTTCTTTCCATTCAACATCAGAGCAATCTGGAGCAGAGTAGAAGTCCTATTAATGAAGGCAGCGAGAAGCCAAGTTGTAGCGACCCCTTCCGAAAAGCAGGAACGCATGAAGCTCATTTCTGCGAGAATGGTCGTTTACCTCTTTGCCAATACGTTCACGGCTCACTTTGTGGCCGAGCGCTGACTTAACTTCATCACATGAAGCCGCCTTTTTAAGCTCGTCATCCAGCTTAAATCCAAACCGTGCACCTGGTGAAATGAAAGCCAAGATAATGTTGTAAATTATGGAACAATTGAAATAATTGTATGCGGAATGATGAAAAAGTTCGAAAGATGTGCCATCAAAGACCCACCAAAGCGCACAGCCCGCATCACGCGTAATGGATCATCTAGAAACGTTTCTTTCGGAGGAAGGGGAGTGCGGATAATTCCCGCTTTCAAGTCTTTGATTCCTGTTAGAAAAGAGAGGATGCCGTCATTGTCGAGACCGCCATAAACTGGAATATAAAGTTGATGCAGCAATGAACCAACGGTGAACTACCAGGCATTCCTTTTTTAAACAGAACTATTATTTTACTGTATAAACAGAATTCGTAACTACGTGAAAAATGTGCCCAGTGGAACAATTACAAGCAACGAAACGACACCCAAAAACTACTTGCGTTCAGATTGAGCTGCACACATGTATGGTAGCTTGAACAGATTAAGAGTTGCATACCTTGTGACGTCAGGTCCTCCACGGAACGTTTGTTGATGTTGTAAAACAAACTGCCCAACACAATCGAAGTACAACTGAGTATCTAATTTACAAAATACGTCGTCAATATGATTCCAGGAGCAGTTTTAAATATCCAGCATATATCCAGGAATGGCGTCGAAACCTGTTTATAGTCAGGTCCCGCCGAAAAGCATCTTGTTCGGCAGTTCCGAATTCCTGGGGAACCCATCGAAGTCAGAATCTATAACACGGGTCACTAGCGTAAATATCCTTCAGACCACTAAAATACTCCGAAGTGGAAGTTTCATTTGCAAGTCAAAACAAATCCCCAGGCAATGTTGACACGATGGTAGATGGAAGACGACAGAATTACGGAAATCTTCAATGCATTGGTATTCTGGCCCAATACACACGCACCATAGTTGGAATACGGCTGTTATTCGCGTACGTCTCTGCTCGTAAGTTTACGAAATCCACGAAAACACCCTTCACTTTCATGGTGGCCGTCTCCAAATGCTTTGACTGCTCAGGATTGCTGCAGGGACAGAATTATTGAAAATTAAGTGACAAGTTTCATAATGCGTATAAGTTTAACCGGCTTGTACATGATTTGCAAGGGTTGGTTCATTACTGAAAGCAAACATCCAGCGACAACGACAGAGAAACCGGACAGGAAAGTATGTACCTCTGAATGACCCCAACCCCTGTGGTAGACTCTCCAATGCTTTTCAGATAGTCGTTAACTTTCTCACAAAAGTCCTTGCCTAACATGTTGTCTAGCGCGATGTCAATATCAGCTGAATCTTTCCCAAGGAGCTGCCAAATTGAACACGAAAGAAAACATCAACGTGCTAGAAACTAAAATTGATGCAATAAGTCCACTGCGATCGGAAGGCCTCCGAATTTCTGGTACCCTTGATTTTTCGGTGTACTGGAATCTCTACTGCTATCATCAACTATATTACTATATACCTACTGGAATAACCATAATTTACTCTCTTCAACCCAAAACCCCCGACTCTACTCAGGCTGATCTCCAACAGCGATACGAAAATAAATAAAAAATGCAGAGAAAATGACCTCGACCGACTCAATGTCGGACTCTCCATGGCACCAGGTTGCACATGAATCCTTTTCCAAATTCACGTATTTCATAAAAAGCGCGAAGAGCGCCAAGCAATCCCAATTACATCTCCCGACCCCCAACATTCACGCGCACAATTTGGCGAAATCATCTGGTCTCACGAACAAGAATGCAACTACGAATTCACCTTATCACGAACCCATCCTCCGGCCACCCGCAGCTCCGTGCTCAGCCCAAAGTGTTTCAATGTTGCAATAAGAACATCGAAAATCTTCTCCTCCAGTTCCGTCAGCCTAACGGTGTCCAACCCCTCTACCTCCTCCTCCTCCTCCAACCCCATTATATTCTCCATCACCACACACAGCGCTCTCCGCAATCGCCCTCCCTCCCAGGTTTCTCTTCCTGCGTCGAATCCTACCACTCGTTGTCCTCTTCCAACTAACCCCTGCCAAGGCTCCCGCAACGAAAATCCCTTACGCAGGGGCAAATCGAGCGCACACGCCCCCTGATCCCGGGCGAATTCCCTCCTCACGCGAGGAGTCGTCGACGCAGCGACCTTGAGCGAGCGGCGAAGCGTCCAGAGGCGGAGGGTCGAGAGCGAGCCCAAGCGCGAGAAAGAACCTGCAGTTGCCATGTCCGCCATAGCCAGGGACGCTCTGTGCAATACGTAATTGGCGGGGATTGTGCAGAATTAGGGTTTGGGGATCAGCCAGGTCAGCTTGGTTGAGAATTCTCCATTGCCACCGTGAATTCCCAAGCCCAGCCCGCGAGAAGCCTTCAGCTTCGTCATCCATCCGTCCTATACGTCCATATACTTCATCCATGAGCGTCATTCATCCGAACCGCGTCTCTTGGTGAAAACCAGAAAAGTGTATTTTATACCATTCATATCCTCTCTCTAGTTGGGTTGATTACAATAGATTAATTTTCACCAGAAACAATAAGAACTAAAAACGAAACAGATACGCTTTTGCTGCTGAAGCAATTTTAAAATTTTAAATCTTACTCGAGAAAAGAAAAATTGTTGTGTGTACAAAAGTATGTGATAAAAGATGGATATAAACTTTTTATAGTTAATTAAAAATAAATTGCAAAGAAGATGATGATGCATGAGTAAAATTTTCTTGAACAACCACTTTTTAAAAAAATTATGGAGGATATCCAATTAAAAAAAAATTAAAAAATTAAAAAATAAGACTATTCTACAAAAAGATATTGCACACAATAATGGAGGTTAATGTTTTTATGAAACTGCATTCTTCAAGTTCCTGATGCTACTTGAAACACTTTTGTATAACTACAAGCTCCAAATTTGATCAGATTTGTGTTTACTTGTACGCTTAACAAATATATGTCCTACGAACAAAGAGAAAAATTATCAATTTTAAATAAAAGAATTATCCAAAAAAATACAAATACAAATGGTTGGTTTGTTTGTTCCTTCTTCATTGGATCAATTTTGTTATAAAAATATATTAAAAAACTAAGCTTTTGGTAGAGTAAAACCAAATGTTGCCAATTGAAGCCTATGGTTATAACTTAGCAATAAAAGCCATTTGTATACATGACTTTGGACATTCTTGCAAGGCTAACTCCAATCTTAGCAAATATTTGTTAGTACTCTCATTTGCTAAACTAAGGATGTAAAAATTTATGTGGATTGTGAAAGAAAATTTTATTAGGTGAAATGTTGCATGTAAGAAGAAAGATATCCAATATTGAATTGGGGGACTAAGGTTCAGAAAACCATAAAAAGGGTTATATAGAGATGTGTTGAACATATACATGTGATAGCAAAAAAAGATTTAGATTCAGATTTGTGAGCAAACAAAATGGAATCCTTGAAGCAAGAATCAGGACAAGGAATGGCTTTGTTTGTGAAAAAATGGAGGTTTGTGAAACTTTTGAATGGGTTATTAAGAAGAGACCACTAGAGTAGAGGATTTTTCCCATAGGAACGGTCTCCATGGCACTTACAAAAAGAAGGGTTTACAAGGCCTCTTCAGCCATGCATGAAGCTTTCAAAGGCAAAGTACCCCCACATTCGTCTTGTGCTTGAAACATTTTGAGTCTTCTGCCTCTTGTAACCCAGAGAACTCTCACATACCAACGGGCTTTCTGGAGCTCTGCCAATTCCACCGCGTTTGCGCCCTCCCTCGTGACTTCCTGGTATGTTTACTTTGAAGCCTGTGACGATGGTGGTGGCAAATGTGTTGGGTTGGGTTTTGTCTTGAGCAATTGTGTAGTGTTTTGTGATTCAGGCAGGTGAACTGATTTAGCAGAACGCAAGTATTAGTCCTCATTTTCCCTGATCTCATGCTTTCATTGTTTGGGCTCGGGTTGTCTTGAGGATCATTCAATTCGGTCGCCAGGATCAGTTGTGATGTTTGGTTCTCTTACCGCTGCAGCTGGACGGTGATCAGCTTTTTCATTTCTTGGTCGCATTTCTAGGATTACAGTTTCTGACGGTGAATCTGTGATGCACCCAGTTCAGCCATGCGATCTTCTTTTGGCACCCACTTGCTGCGCTCTTCCCTTCCATCCTCCGCGGATTCCCTACGGATTCTGAGCTACAGTGCTCGCATACCGGTTCGCGACAATGCTCCTGTTGGTCTGAGATGTTGGTTCAATAAGCACAACTGGGTTTGTAGACCACAATTAGTGCAATTGAGGGTTGGACATCTGTCTGGGTTTCGAGTTGAGGCTAGGGGAGCTGTGGACGCCGTCGTGGATGCAAGTGGGATGGGTTAGTGATGCTTTCTAAAATTTCATGCTTGAGAGTTTTATGCAGCTTTGGATTCGCAGGCTGCGTTATTTCTGTTTTCTTGTTTGAAGTTTGGGGTATGGGGTTGATGAAAAGTAGTCCAAATTAAGTGGGAAAATGTTTTGGCGGCCGATTTTGAATTTGTTTCGTGTAAATGCGAGATTTGGTGCAGACAAGCAGAGTCCAGACTCAGGAGTAGCTGAAGAAGCTAATTCCTTGGAGTCCCTAGAAGTGCCAGCCACAATCAGGGTTTCAGAGGACATGGGGCAGCTCGAGCCACAGGGTCCAGACCGCGATGTAAAAGATGGCGTGAACGTGAAGAAGTCGATTTGGTCGAAATTGGGGCAGAGGGTCAACATTGCGGGGATTCAATTCGCATCTAGAGTAATGTTACACGATCAACATCTCGCTATCCCACATATTAGTGTCCCAGACATACGGTAATTTCTAAATTCACGTTTGGAACCAGTCGCTCATGTGCAATGCAACGATTGAACGAGAGATGTGGTATGTTGAATGTCATGGAACAAACCATGTTCTTTGTTGACGCTCATAACTTATCAGAAGTGCAACTTTTTTGATGTCTAAGTCTCTTATAAACGAAGTCCCTGAACAGTGTGGATTAAATTACTCTGATGGAGTTTATCAACAGCGTCTGGATTAACAAGTAGTCAAGTTGTAGTTTTTATTTGTTTTCGAACTTAATCAACGTGTGACCATTAAGGCATTGTTGTTACATAGAAACCCGTTTTTGGAGATGACGCCAACAATGAAAAGTACGCAGTTGATTTTGGCAGGTGGATAGACTGGAAGGCTTTACATGATCATGGTTTTGAAGGTGTGGTGTTCGATAAGGATAACACTCTCACCGCACCTTATGCGTTTGCTCTATGGCCAGCCCTTTCGACATCCCTGCAAGAATGCCAATCAGTTTTTGAGGGTCGAATTGCCTTGTTAAGTAACTCAGCTGGTACGTTGGTCGCTTCGCTGCTCGTCACTGTGGATACTGCCGTGATGCAGATTTTAGTATAAGAAACATATTTGAATCCTATTGCCAACAGTTTGATAATGCATAAACTGGCTCAATTATAATGGGTGTAAAAAGAATATAGAATCCTACAAGTTAATTGTCATTGGATCTTGATTAGTGTCTATCCTAAGAGAATGAGAGTTGCGTCCAAAACAGGATTATATCAATTCGATCCTGATGGAGTGGAGGCTAAAGCTTTAGAGGAGAGACTAGGAATTCCTGTTATTCGCCATGGTATGTTTTCCTGCTTTTGGATTGTCCTATTACTTAGATTACTCGCAGTGTTTTTCATGTAATATCTGGTGCTTTGTGCATGTGTTTACAATGGCCTAGGTGTCAGGTATTATTTTTGGTCACAAGTGCAGTTCAAGATGGGGGGAGTTTGAAGTTTGTCAGTATGAAAATATTCACTTTTCTAAAGCGTGATTGTGCCAAGTGGTTATACCTTATTTTGGCACCTACTCCACATGAGTAGATTACTCGTAATTTGGTTCAAATGGAGTATAGGTAGTGTTTGAGTGTGTGGCATGTCGCAGGGACGAAAAAACCAGCAGGAACAGCTGAAGATCTTGTAAAGCACTTCGGATGTGACCCGTCAAGGATTATTATGGTATTTGTCTTTTTTTTTTTTTTTTTTTTTTTTTTTCCATGCATCACAGCTACCTATCAAAGCAGACACTGTGATATGATTAAATGGCTACGTCTAAGTGTATGGCCTTTCAGCCCGTACTTGCAGGAAGAAGACTTGCTGCTTTAAAATCATACGATAGGATCCGCAAAGATTGACCCACTGTTTGCTTTATGTGTCATGGACCAAGAGTGACTCTAGCAATCCTTGTTCTGATTACCCTCTTTTGTTGAAAATGGGCAGGTCGGAGATCGCTACTTCACAGATGTTGTGTTTGGGAATAATAATGGCTTGCTCACCATCAGACCCGCTCCACTCACTTCTATTGGAGAGCCTTTTGTTGTGCAGAAGGTATAGCATCATCCTATGTATGTGAAATGATGTTCATCCAGCATGCATAAAACTTGCACATTTATGGTACCGCTGACAGTACATTTACTTCAATTTCTTAGTATTAATAACACGCATTTCATTTGAGTTGGCTGCCATCTCAAATTGGCACTTACGTCACGTTGTGCAACTCTCTCTCTCTCTCTCTCTCTCTCTATCTATCTATCTATCTATCTATCTATATATATATATTTATACATATATCTGCCTTTTTTTCTTTTTTCAGACTGGTTATCGTTGCTAGTGGACAATAGCTACGGTCTTGCAGTCACCTAACAGCAATTCTTTTCTCCTATTTGTCACGAATTATAGGTGAGGATGCTTGAAGAAGCTGCAGTGGGGCGATGGCGAAGGCAAAATGTTCAACCGAAAGAGCATGTTTTGTTCACCTCTGCTCATGATTTCATCAAGGGTTCTGCCTGTTGGTAGTCGGATTCTACTCTTAGGATATATCATACATCGCATAGCTGTAAGTCGGGCGGTTGAGGATCTAAATAGTGTTTAGATTATGAGTGGTTAGCGGAATTTTTTTTCCAGCTATCTTCAAATTTGGATAATGTAGGAAGTTTCTCTACATCTGAGGATGTTTCACTGACATTTGAGTGATCTCCTTGTTTAATGTGAACGATTGTGAATTCTTACTACCAACTGTTATGCAACTAGACCATCGCATATAACAGTCACTCTTTTGTATTCTTATGGCGTCACGTCAGTGATTTCTACAAGAACGGTTTATGACGGTACCAATATCCAAAAAAGGCACTCAATCTTGATTCCTGACATCTTAGGTCCCGAAAATGTCAGCGGAGTCCTATTTTGGTACTTCACCTGCATGGTAGCATTAGATCTAGAAACAGATCTTTGATCCTGACAGTAATTCCTTTCTCTGTGGCTGGTGTACACTATGGCCTGATCGTTTAGTTTTAAGTACGTCTAAGGTAAACTGGACAAATGGCACCCACTTGGAGCTAGTAGAGAGTCGCTGTGGTGCAGCGTTTAAGACTTTTTGAATGCCACAGATTGGCATGGTGCTTGGAATTTACTGGAACGATGTTCTTATTGGTGTGCATTGCGTTGCACATCTTTAGCAAGCTGAAACAGGACGCTGAAGGACATTGTCTTGCTGTTTACTGCGAGATCTTGCCGGATACACTCATAGACAATGTATCTTCTTTCTGACCTTGCCACAGACATTCCATCGGAGTTTTTAGGTCTTGTATACTTGAGCACATAAAAATTGAATGTTGTATGTCAGCCGTCCTGAATTCACTTATCAGAAAAAGTGAAATGGCCTCCACTCGCAGCCAGGGTTTTTCTAAGACTTTAGTCGAAAATGGACACAGCTAAATCCACACATCTTAATTTCTAAATACTTGTTAAATTAACTCGAAATTGTTTCGGGCTTATATAATTGTATACACTATATTCTCAACGGGATAGTTTCTGCTGCTATGCACTGGAAGCAGTTTTCATGTCTACAGCGTAGCGGTTACAGTATCCAACGTCCTAATAAGGAGTTGAAGCTGGTTATCTCCCCCTGGTATTCATCTTCACAGACAGCTTTCCTGAAGAAAATTTCTGAGGGATGGTGCCATTTGCAAACATGTACAGGTTTTCCGTAGTGTTGTAGCCTCACTCTGCAATCCCATTTGCCCTTGTGAATACATTGTTTTGATGGATTTCTTTGTGATCTGAAAGTGGGGTGAACTTGTTTGTCTATATGAGTACTTGAGGGTGTGGGTGATCCACTGTGGAATTTGCTTGTGTTTCTTTGCTAATTGATTGGTTTCATCGTTTTTATTCATGCACAATGACGAAGCTTAAGAATCTATAGAAGTTGCCTCTCATGGCACTGTATTAAATGGTCACAGAAATTGCATATGTGATTCCATCATATAGAAATATAATTTGTCGTGAACAACATGAGGTGCTGAATAGAATAGTAAAACAAGCAAAAAAATAACCAACCAAAAGGCATCACTGCTAATAAACCCTGTACAACTTTGTTTACATCACAATTCGTACAAACAAAAATCATACTTTGTTTACAAGGAGATATGAAAACATTGAGATACCAGGTGCCTACTTAACACTCAATTTTTATAGTTCTAATTTAATTTATGTATTATTTTATTTCAATATTCTTCTTAAAAGACATGCAATTTTCTTTGCAAATCTATTTTCATATTAGAATTATTAGATATGCTACCCAAACAGTTTTATTATGTTTTTATTTTTTAAAATATAAAGAAGATCTATTATTATATTTATTTTCATATATTTATACTTATTATATAATTTTAAATCAAAAAATAATTTAATAATAATTATATATATAATAATTTTATATTTTTATATTTAATAAATTCATATCAATAGATACTTGATTCCATACAAAAGCTTGTATTGCACATTTAAAATTAAAAAATATATAAATTACATCAAAACTTAAGCATAGAAAAAGAAAAGAATTTTATTTTCAATAAAAAATATAATTTTTTTAATATATCTATTATTATTTTTTAAATAAAAAATTAAATTAAATTTAGAATAACTTATCATCTAAAGGATATTATCTTAAATAAGTTGCTAGTAGTTAAAGGATTAGCTACAAGGTCAAGGGCTAAGAGACAGTGTCAAAAGAATAATGGATTTATTAAGAAATATCCAAATGGTAGATAAGAGTATGAAATGTGTGTCATGGCATATCATTGGAGTAGGTGAGATAGTAAAGGAAATATTAGGTAGATAAGATCATAAAATGTACTCAATAAAATATCTTTATAGTAGATGAGATATTGAAGGATATTTTAGGTATATCATTTGATAAATATAAAAGTGAAAAGATGAAATTTATCTATTAGGGCATCAACTACCACTTATAAGTAAAAAAAGGGTATAAGTGAGAGTTACTTTATACCACACTTTCTTTGAGTATAATCTTATTGATCATAAGTGTTGGATCTTCTAATTTCTATTTCTTCAATAGATTATGAGATCACTTACATTTGAGTGTGAATTTGGAAGTTTTATGAATCTTTGTTCTTATTTTTTTTTTATCTTTTTGAAATTTATAATATGCTAAATAAAAACCATTTGTAATAAGAAATATAAGAACTTACTTCATTTATAGAAAATCAAGACACTTTATCTAAAATTGCTACAAAGTTAAGGAAGGAGATGGAAAAAATACTAATATTATATGAGACAAATAAGAGAGTGATTATTTTGCATTCATTGCAAGTGAAGACATATCTATAATTGCCATGTCTAAGTGGATTTTTGATGGCACTATACAAGTGGTTATTTGACATTTATGAAGAGATTCTATTAAGAAGAATTTTTATAGAAAATAATGGCATGGTATAAGCTATTAGAATTGGATCTATTATAGTAGAAATTATTATGAAAAACAAAACCAAGAAAATCAAATTCAAAGAGGTCCTACATGTATCTAAGATGAAGAAAAAATTTCTTTTAATGAGCAAAATTATTTCATATGGTTGTAAGGTATAATTTGATATAAATGAATGGAGCTAAAGTAATGGCATTTATTGGATTTCTATAAGATCAAGACAAATTTAGCATTTGATATCAACACCTTGATCATTTTAATGCCAAAATTAAAAAGAATTTCTAATCTATAGTAAGTGGCTTGAATCTTACTGAATCATATAACAATGCTATAGATCTTGCTATTAAAAATTATATTTAAAATAAAAAAAACTTAATTTTTAATTAAAGTTATAAGATATAAAAGCAAGTTATTGGAGATTATGTATTTGGATATTTTTTAATCTATGAGGAGGCCATCAATGGAAAGATTAAGATATTTTACCATATTTATTGATAATTTTTTAAATAATATGTGGATTTTTATCCTTAAAGCTATAAATGAATATTTTTGAAGGTTTAAGGTATTTAAAGTACTTATAGAGAAGCAATGTGAGTCTAAAATGAAAGTTTTGTGTACATAAAATAGAAGCGAGTACTTGTCCAAGTATTTTGGTGATTTTTTGATGATTCAAGGTATTGCAAGAGAAACCTAAATTCTTTATATTTCTTAACAAAATAGGATTTCTAAAAGAATATATATATTTTTTTGTAGACATGGTAAGAAGTATACTTCATGTTCAACACTTTGAATATAAATTTTGGACAAAAACAATGGTAAATATAATTTATACAAAGAATGTGCACTATATAAGAAAATAACTTGTATTTTACACATGAAGATTTTTGGATGCATTGTTTATACAGAGATATCAAAGTATATGAGATCCAAATTTATTATAAAAGATACAAATTATAGATTTCTTAGATATTGTGAAGATATGAAGGTATATAGGCTAATGTGCTTGAATACCAAGAAGATAATGAAAAGTTGTAATATTGAAATTTTTGGAAATAAGAATGTTTGTGAGTACTTAAAAATATGTTTAAGTCACAGTAATAGTTTGTTTATAAATATATCTTTAAATTTTTCAAAAAGAATAAGAAGACAAGGATAATAAAGATGATAGAAGTGTAAATTCGAATGAAGAATTAAAAAATAAAGAAAAATACCTATATATTTCTTAGGACTAACAATTAAGATGTTAAAGATGATGATATTGAAGAATACCAATCTATGAATAAGAAATACAATCTTCAAGAGTGAAGAAGCTTAGAAGAGACAATAAAGTGTATAAAGATAAATCTTCTTTTAAATAAAGGAGATATCTTTTGAAAGAACAAAAACCATTTTATGAATAATAGCAGAACTACATCTTTTTTCAAGTGAATAAAGAATATATCAGTATTACACTTCTTATAGTTCCATTTAATTTATCTGATGGAGTAAAGTCCATATATTCTATAAATAGAAAAGCTATAAAAAAATATACAAATTATTTATTGATAATAGAACATAAAAATTGAATCAACTTCTATTTTATAGAATCTTTAATTGATTGTAAATAGGTATTTAAAATAAAAAAGATGCAATAAAAAATATTATCAAATATAAGGCAAAAATAATTGATAAAGGCTATTCAAAAGTTTTTGGTATCGATTTCAATAAGAAATAAGCTTCTATAGCCAAATTCACCACTATTAGAACTATTATGATGATTAAAAAAATGATGAGTTTGGAAATGCATTAAATAGATGTAAACATAGCTTTCTTGAATAAAAAATTAAAAGAAGACATCTGCTTGGATAAATATCAAGAATCTATTAAAAAAATCAAATAATACCTTATTTGTAAGTAAAAAAAAGTTATTTTATTGCTTCAAGTAATTGCCAAGGCTATAATATTAATATATTCATATATTCTTTATGAATGAAAGATTATAAAAAGTAGAGTTGATCATTCTATGTATGTAATGGAATCAAAAGAATTCTTATTGGTTGTTATTTTTTATATTTATGATTTAATCATCTTAACTAATATCTTAAAGAAGATGGATTAGTTAAAAATAAAGTTAAAAAAAGAATATTAGATAAGTGATTATAAAGAGTTCCACTATTACTTAAGAGTGGAATTTATGAAAAATTGTGATAATAAGACCATTACAAGAAGTTAAAGCAAGTATGTTAAAGAAATATTAAAATAATTCAATATAAAAGAATATAAATTTATTATATTTTATTTCAAGGCTATTTTTAAATTAAAATAATTTATAAATAAAGATTTTTTTTAACATTAGAGGAT